AAAATCCTTTACAGACAAACAAATGCTGAGAGCTTTTGTCACCACCAGGCCTGCCTTACAAGAGCTCCTGGAGGAAGCACTAAACATGGAAAGGAACAACCGGTACCAGCCACTGCAAAACATGCCAAATTGTGAAGACCATCAACACTAGGAAGAAACTGCATCAATTAATGGGCAAAATAACCAGCTAACATCATAATGACAGGATCAAATTCACACATAACAATATTAACCTGAAATGTAAATGGGTTAAATGCCCCAATAAAAAGACACAGACTGGCAAATTGAATAAAGAATCAAGACCCACCAGTGTGCTGTATTCAGGAGACCCATCTCACATGCAGAGACACACATAGGCTCAAAATAAAGGGATGAAGGAAGATCTACCAAGCAAATGGAAAAAAAAAAAAAGCAGGGGTTGCAACCTTAGTCTCTGATAAAACAGACTTTAAACCAATAAAAATCGAAAGAGACAAAAAGTCATTACACAGTGGTAAAGGGATCAATTCAACAAGAAGAGCTAACTATCCTAAATATATATGTACCCAATGCAGGAGCACCCAGATTCATTAAGCAAGTCCTTAAAGACCTACAAAGAGACTTAGACTCCCACACAATAATAATGGGAGACTTTAACACCCCACTGTCAATATTAGACAGATCAATGAGACAGAAGGTTAACAAGGATATCCAGGACTTGAACTCAGCTCTGCACCAAGCAGACCTAATAGACATCTACAGAACTCTCCACCCCAAATCAATAAAATATACATTCTTCTCAGCATCACATGACACTTATTATAAAATTGACCACATAATTGGAAGTAAAGCACTCCTCAACAAATGTAAAAGAACAGAAATCACAACAAACTGTCTCTCAGACCACAGTGTAATCAAATTAGAACTCAGGATTAAGAAACTCACTCAAAACCACACAACTGGTATCGAACTACTGACCTCGTGATCCATCTGCCTCAGCCTCCCAAAGTGCTGGGATTACAGGCTTGAGCCACTGTGCCTTACCCAAGGTTAACATTTATATGTGAGTTTTTGATCCTATCATGACGTTGTCAGCTGGTTTCTTTGTAGTATGTATTGTGTGGTTGCTGTATAGCATCTCTGAGCTATATTTAACTGTATTTTTGTAACAGTAGGTATTGTTCTCTTATTTCCATGTTTTGAACTCTCTTAAGCATCCCTTAAGGTTGGTCTAGTGGTAACAGATTTTCTCAGTAACTGCTTGTCTAGAAAATATTTTTTTCTTGTTTGCTTATGAAGCTTAGTTTGATGGGATAGGACATACTGGGTTGGAATCTATTGTCTTTAAGAATGCTGAGGTAATCCTCATGAAAATGTTCTCACTAATATGGTATGTACAATAGTGCACCATGCAGTTTGTTTTTATTTTATGTTATTTTGTTTTTAATTTTACCCAAGTGAGACCCAAGTTGATTTATTTTTTATGGGAATTTAATGAGAGAGAATTTCTTGATTTTCCACATCTGTAGGGTGCAGATCTGTGCAGTGAAACTACCTACAGCAAGGATATATGCCTGTTAGGTGGCACAGACCCGAGACCCAATGGATCAGACTTGCCATTCATCCTCCTCTTGTCCTGATGAAATCTCACAGCTCCAGACAACACAGACACAAAACATTGATCGACAGTAAGATGGCTTGAAGAAATGCTTCTTTCAGGACAAATTCTTTCTGTGCATTCCATGAGGTAATCAGTATAGTATATAGCTATATATTTGCACCATTTTGAAGTCCACTACAACAGAGTTTTAAAATGCTGCGTTTAGTGAGCATTGTCAATAGAGTCTTTAAGTTCATCAATCTTAAGTCAAGAAAATTTAGAAAGTACTAAAATCTTAGCACTCACATGAAAGAAAACTGGAAGCTTTTCCAAATTAGACAACAATCAGACAAATTTGCATAATATTACCAATCTGAGTTTTGAAGCAGAAAGAAAATGTTATAAACCATGATTTTCACAAGTAGGATTGATTGTAGTATTTCATAATTTTGGATGATTATAGTATTTATCAGAATTTTAAAGTGATCAAATTTAGTGGATAACTGGTTTATCTTTCTGCTATATTTACAGAAAATTCTATTATAAAATCGATGTCATGTGATGAAGCAAATAGTGACTCAATAGTTGAGTATGAAAACGTAGAATTAACTTTTTACACTGTTGTGTCAAGTAGTTAATTAATAAAAATGTTACGTTAGCAAGCAAAAAGAACACAAATTAAGGAAGGGCAAATCTGCCCCTCCATCTGCAGGGTGGATGGATGGACTGACGGGGTCAAAGCCAGTGACATCACGAGCAGGAAACCATGTTTCTCTCAAGCTGCAGGTTTGAAATGTCAAACAGCCTCTTCCTTGGCTGACGGCTGCTTTCTGACTCAATGGAAGACCTTGTTCTCTAGCGTCAGGGCTGTCGGAATCTTTGCTTATGACTGAGAAGAACATCCCACTGCCTGGAGGATCTGGGTCCATCTTTACACAGAAGCACAGAACTACAGAGAAGGGGTTTCTGGATGGAACGTTCCACACCTGGCTGGACTTTATGGGTTCTAAGGACACAGGACCTAGGTCCACTTTTCAGACCAGACTTGACACTGGCTGCTTTACACGAAGGCCTGCCATACTCTGAGTCCATCACTACAGCCTCAAAAATCCCTCCCCACAGTCTTATAATAAGCTCTTTCTGTTGTTTTTTGAGTCATCACAGGTTTCTTGGTGTGAATTTATTCCCTTTTTGCTACAAGCCAATAATCCTGAGTCTGTTGACTGCAAAATCTGTTTTGGTGACTGATCGCACTAGGATGTATATTATTTTTCTGGAATTTGGGATGATTGTAGTATTTATCAGGACTTTAAAATGAGTAATTTGTTGTGACTTATTTCCCTTTCTTAAATAAACACTAACTTTAGTGCTTAGTTTCTAATTGGTTATATTATGCTATTTTTCATGCAGATAACCCTCTGTATTATGGAAGCCTTAGACCTCACGGAACCTGGGTTGCCTGTGGTCACAGTGCTGAGAATCCACCTGCCCAAGGAATGACTGCACTGGTTCCTGCTTTCCAGGCCTCCAATGGACTTATCCCTCCTTCCAGAGTGATTTGTCTATGCTGAAGGCGGAGTTTCTAACCTCAGTGGCTTTAGTCTTTTAGCAAGAATTTGTGACATTATTTTTGCTAAAGGAACTTTTAGAAGGGGTGCAATACTTCCAAAACATGACCCTCAGGAGCCTCCTTTACTCCAAAAACCCAGGAGTTTCCGGAAAGGGCCCAGACCCTCAGCTTGTTCCAGAAGACAAAGACCCACATGCTCACCTTCAAGCCTCCCTGCCCCCTGCTCCCCTCCGAGGGAACAGACACACACGGAGATGGTGGAGGGAGCCTTCTACAGAGCCCGACTTCCCCCTCCACTTCCCCAGGAAGAGAGATGTCAGAAAAGTTATGGGTTTACACGAAATCACCTGTTCCATGTGTCCTTGGATGGTGGTTGCTTACGTCAAGACAGACCCTTCACCAGATAGAGAACCACGAGGATCTCCATGCAGGGAAGACTTCCCCCCTGACCACCATTCCTGGGCACCCGCTGCTCTGCTGTCAGCCCCTCTCATCCAACAGAAGCCTGAATCAGTGTGTGTGCACCCCCCAACCCCCCCGACACCGGGTGAGGCCCAGACTCAAATCTCCCCAGCTCACGACCTCCTGGGCGCTGCTGCACCTTCTTCAACCCAAAACCTTGGTTAACTCCTGTGGGGGTGGAGAGGAAATGAAGCAGATGCTCCCCACTCTCCCTGCCAGACCATCCTCCTCCTGGCTTTCTATGTGCGGCACATGGGGTGTGGGCCTCAGGGCTGTTTGGGCAGTTTCCCCTTTGTCATTTCTCCCTCAGTCTTCATGGCAGCCACCTTTGGGCAACGCAGCTCTAGGCACCGAAGACAGTTGAGAGCCCTTCCCCAGAGGCACCTGCCCTGAGGGCTGCACTCCTCTGCCCAGAAATAGCAAAGGGAAGGGCCGTGCAGGGTGGGCTAGGTCTTAGGACTGTAGCCTCTTCTTTGGAGCGCAACTAACCACTTTTCTGAAGAATGGTTTTGACACTAAGGTGATGTTATTTATTAATTAAAACATCCTTTTTGAAAACAACAAGTATCCACTGCATGTCACTTCCATTCGTGTTTTAACTTCTCCATCCCTACAAAGAAGCCCGACCTGAGTACTTGTTTTAAATCCAAGTCCAGAGAAAGGGCGGCTGGATGTGAACATGTAAAACTCTTCTAGGGCACAGCTTCCTAGCCTAGGACACAACCTCCCAGCCTGGGGCACACCCTCCCAGGATGGATGACAGCAGGCACTGCTTTCTCTGGGTGATATGCCCGTCTTTCATCTGGTTGGCATTTTTCCCAATCAATTATACACACACACACACACACACACACACACACACACACTTTTGGACTTTGTTTCTATGTAGGGGCCTAAAGTCTCTTGTGGAAAGAACCACACATCCATTGCTATCTAGTTAGTGTCTAGGGGATTTGATGAGAGCAGCTCAGTCCCTGGAGTCTGCTCAACTCTGGAAGCACAGATGGAATCTATGGCCTGGCAAGCTCCACCGAGGCCTGGCCCCTGCCTGAGGACACAGCCAGTCCCCTCCTCCTGCTCTGACCAGGAGCTCAGACCACAGCAGCCCAGCTTCCCGGGCCAGCAGCCTGGGCCCCCTCGTCTCCCTGGTCCCCTCACCAAGGGCTGCTGCAGCTGCAGCCCTGGGTTCCCAGTCCCTGGCTGCTCTCTCCCTGTTCTGAAGCTCAGGTCTCCGAAAGTGGCAGCAGCTCCCCTGACAGACTTACTGTGGCTGCATCTGCTCCCAGGTACTCCTCTGATCCCGCACCAGCAGGACAAGGAAGCTTCATAAAGGAACTGCAGAAACCCTGCCTGTGTGCACATCCCCAGACAGCCAAGAACTTAGAGGGAGCCAATGCTACTGTTTTATTGCAGGAGATGGGGGCGTGTGCACCGCACACCAGGGCTATAAGAAGCAAGAAGGAAGGAGGGAGGGCGGAGCCCCCTGCTGAGCAACAAAGGCCTCCTGCTCCCTTCTCTGTCTTTCTCCTGGCGCAGGCGCATGGGGAGACCTCCCCCAGGGTGGAGGCCACCAGTCCAAGGGTGGGAGCACTACAGGGGGTGGGAGTAGGAGGCGGTTGGTGTGACTGGCCTGGCACAGATCCCTAGGCTTCTTGACACCTGGAATTCACCAGGGACATTTTGTCCTCCCAGGGAACTTCATAGATCTGGAAAGAGCACAACTGTTTCTGTGAAAGGGAAGAGAGAGGGCCAATCAGTGTGGGTTACAGTTAAAGGGGTAGACGCCCAGGCATGAGATGTCAGAGCCTGGGTGAGGAAGACGGAGGTGAGACACTGGGCCCACACCCACCCCTGCTGAGTCCCAGAGCACCGAACTAGAATGAATAGTGACTGTTCCATCGCCCCTCCCAAGGCTCCAAGTCACCAGGTAGCATTGGTCCCTCACCCCAGCCTGCAGGGTTTCTGTCCCAGCACAGCCCTTTGAGGAGCAGCCCGTGCAAGGCCTCTGGAGCCCCAAGGGTGCAGGGCAGGGGGTGGCGACTCGCTTCCCCCAGCTCCTTCCGCCTCCAGCATCCAGGCCAGCACTAAGAGGGGCCAGAGGGAAGAGCCCAGGGCAGGGCAACTCCCCCTCAAAGAGCTGAGGCCAGGGCAAGGGTGACAAGGGGAGTGCGGCTCTCCCCTGAGTGGAGACTTCACAAGAACCAGCAGGTCCTTGGAGAGGCTGGTGTTGGGTGAGCGGGGCAGGTCCAGGGCTACGCAGCTAACAGGCCTCTAGGTCCCACTAATCTGCTTAGTGTGGCTGTGGCTGCGGGCAAGTGCCTGAGGCTGGGATTAGACAGAGCCCCTTCTCCCTGCCCAGCACCCAGCCCAGCAGCTGCTTCTTCCTGTTTGACAGGAAACACCCCAAAGAAGGCAGAGTTGACCTCTCAGTAACCATTCCCAAGCTAAAGCCTTCACAGCAAATCAAATACATCACCCCGCCTCCCTCACCACCCCATCTGCACACACATAGGCAACTATGTAAACTCACTTGGACCCCTCATCCTCATGGATCTATATACAAACCCCCATACTGCTCCCACGCATCCACACAGGGTCACACATCTCCCTTAAACCTCCCTGCACACACTGACACATGTGTGTACACACGTGCACCTTTCCTCATGCACACCTGCATGCACACACCCCCAAGTACGTGAACATGTACACATTCATGCATACATGGCTCCCCACACGCCCACCTGCACACATATACACCCTCCAAACATGGGTAGGGCAGAGGCTGACACATATGCACTCCTCTGCAGTGCATGACTGGCCTGGGACCCGCATCAGGAACGTACCTTCTGCAGTTCTGGCTGTTCATGGAAGGCACAGGTGTCCAAGTTGGGCTGGGACTTGGTACATGTGGTTCGGCCCAACTCTACATCAAGGAAGTAATTCATTCCGGCCACGACCTACACACATGAGAAAACAGGACGCATGGACAGCGCTCCCCATCAGTTTCATGCACGCACAGCACTTCACTGTGGCTGAGTCACTGGACTTGCTTGGGGCTTGGTGAGCTGCCCATATGTCACCACAAGGCACACAAGTCCCCCTCTTCCTGTCAGCCGGCAGTGTGCTGGGCCTCATGCCTGCTCTTAAACATTGTTTTCTCTGTGCTGGGTAAAAGCATTCATTGAATTCTGCTACCTGGGGTTCAGGGGCAAAGGAACACTAAATCTTTTCTAGGAAGGCTGTCATCTGATGACAACATTTCAGCTAACTTCCGAAAATCTCATTCCCTCCATTTAACCTAGATTTATTCCTTCATTTAAGAGTAGGAAATGAGGTGCTTCACACACAGAGATGCTTTGGCTCAATGGGGCCTCCCGGATGCCACCATTTTAGGTGTGAGTTTCGAGCTACTTTTCTAAAGTCAGCAGCACACCTGCGTGTCTTACAATTGCAGACTAGAACTGAACCCTTTCCCTGCACGGGGTCTGTCCCAGACACAACCTGGCAGAGCTGTGGAGAAACCTGGGATGAGGCACTCTGAGACCAGGGTGCTAGACATTGCCGCTTGGAACCAGGAGGAACTGCTGAGATCCCTCGAGTATCAGTTTATCCATATATAAAATAGGCTTCCGGGCCAGATGGTCTGCAGTACCCTGTGCTTCACTCCAAGTTATTGTCATGCTTGAAAGGGAGGTGCAGGCCAGCGGGGACCACCGCACCAGGCAGTGCACCTTGTGTGCAGGGTGAGGGCCCCAGCTGACAGCTGCAGGAGGAGAAATGGGGCTGGTCTGGATTCCTTTGAATTTCTAAGAGGAGATGGAGGAGCTCCAAAGCCTGTGTCACTATTTGCTGCTCTGCCATGGGATGCACATCAAGCTGGGCCCAGTAGCCCTTCGAAGCTCCCTCCTGACCTGACCCCATCCAATGCTCTGTTGGGTGACTGGTGTCCTCATCTGGCTGAGGTCTAACTCTGCATCAGCTCGTAGAGGCAGGCTCAGGCATGCTCCACCCCAGCAGGGACTCAGCTGCCCTGGGCTGTAGGGGGTGGCCATCGAAACCGAGGGTGAAGGCTGCTAGCCCTAAGGGGTTGTGCCCAGGGGCGTGACTTGGGGAGTGAAGCAGGGCTCTGCAGAACAGGGAGCCAGGTTCCCATGTGGCCCCTGCCAACAGGACTCAGGAAAAAGGATAAGTCTCATGGCCTGGGTCTCATCCTGAGCAGCATCAAGCCCACCCAGAGTCAGCACAGTCTCCACCCACACCTCGCTGGACCCTGGGAAATGGCACGGTCGTGGCACAGACACAGCGGCTCCTGCAGGTTAAAGGAGGCTGAGGGGACAGACAGTGGCTGCAGGGCATGGCCGGGGAGCGTCCTAGGGCATGAAGGCCATCAGGGGAGAGTCAGGGAAAGCTGAAAGAGTCTGAGCATTAGATTATGAATGTGTCAATGTTGATTTGCTGGGAATGCTCTTGGGAGTTGCATGACAAACCAGGCTGGAACTCAGGACCTCTCGGGCGGGGGCAGCACCCACCTGCTCTCTGGCTCGCAGCACCCGCAGTGGGCGTCTGTAGTACTCATCTTCGGTGGCCTTGTTGTACTCGCTGATGGCGAAGTGAAGGGCATGCTGTACCCACTCATCATTGAGGTCTGCGTCATAGATGCTACCTGGGATCACCCTATCCTCCTCCTCGGGGCTCCAGGCCTGGGACCCAGCCAGAGCGGCCAGCAGGAGCAGCAGGGTGCACAGGGGCTGGGCCATGGGCTCCTCAGAGGCAGAGCACAGAGCTGGAGCTGCAGGAGAGGTGAGAGCCTGAGGTGAGGAGCCCAGACCAGCAGGCAGCTGTGCATTTATCCTGCTTTGGCAGGCCAGCCCCACCCCCTCCATGCCACGCCCCTGATTCCTCCTCCTCCTCTTTCTGCCCATCCCCTGTTTCTCCATCTCTCTTTTTACTCCCCCACCACCACAAGCTCCCACCCTGCCTAAGTTCCCCCCTCCTCCGTATCTCCCTCCTCCCCACTCCTGTCCTCACTATAGCCTCCCGGAGCCATGCCTCTCTTCCCCTGGTGCTCCCAAGCTTGAGTCACTGGCGTCTCCACAGAGGTGACACTGCTCCTTTGACACTGCTCTATGAAAGCAATGTGACCTCCTGTTTATTCAGAAAAGGGAAAAATACAGAGTTTGGCCTTCGGGGTCTTCAGATATCGGGGGCTTCCAGGAGCCCTTGGTCACAGTCTCTGAATCTCTGGAGCAGGGAGGTTATTTCAGAAGGTTCCAGAAGACCCTGTCCACACCCTACTATGGAGAATTTCTTTGCCAAATGTAAGGGAATTAACCTGTTTGGAAAAGGTCACTGGGTTCTCTTTTCATAACTCATTATTCAGTAAACCAACCTGTCACCAGTTACTCCCTGTGCCAGGAGGTCTAGGAGTTGAAGACGGAACCTGGATGATGAGCCATAGAGGTGACGCTGCAGAGCTGCTGCCCAACAGAGATGTGACATGAACCCAGGAGCAACTGAAAATTTCTCGTAGATGCATTTTAAAAGATAAGAATAAATGGGTGAAAGTAATGTTTAAAATATTTACGTAACCTAATATAGCCACAAGATTATTTCAGCTAATGGGAACAATTATTAATGAGATAGTTTATGTGGTTTTTTTTGTTTTGTTTTGTTTTGTAAATCTTTGAAATTCCCTGTGTATTTTTTACGCTTAGCCCAGGAGTCACTTTGGACTGGCCCCATTTCAAGTGTCTGGTGGCACATGTGGCTGGTGGCTATGGAACTGCACAGTCCATTCCTACGCAGTGTGTGTAGGGGATGGTAGGTTATGATCAACAATTAGGATCAGGGAGTTATACTCACTTTGTTGAAAGTGAAATATTACAGGGGCTAGAGAGAGACCAGTGGACCCTGGTCAGGGAGGTCTCTACGAGACTGGAGAGGTTGAGAAGCCCCAGGCAGCAGGGAACAGCCAGTGCAAAGGCCCTGAGGTGGGGTTGGGCATGTCTGCTCCAGGAAAAGGAAGCTCCTGGAGGGGGTGTGAGCAGGGAAGGGAACGACCTGGATTCTCATGGTAACTGTGGGTGGGGCCGGGTGGAAGGTACACACAGAGACCCCTGGCAGGCAGTGGGGGTGTTAGGAGAGGGAGCAGCAGGCGCAGGGTGAATGTGGGAGTCCACGGGCCTCTCTTGCTTCTCTCCTAGGGAGCTATGCTTCAGGCTCCTTTCCTCTGCGCACTGCTTGGAAGACTCACCTGATATTTTAAAAATTGCCTTGAAGGAGGTAGAATTTACATACAACAAAATGCCTAATAGTATGTGCTCCACATGGAGGATTTCATAAATGCATATACCTGTGTTACCACTTTGTCCAGACCTGTGACATCTGCCTTGCCCCAGACGGTATACTCCCGCCTCTGCAGCTCACCCTCATGCCCACCCTCCCCTGGCATTCCCCATCCGGCCCTGTAGACTCCTTTGTCACCAGTCCTTGAGCTTCCCAGGAATGGAGTCCTATAGAGCGAGCCTGGGTGTGTTCGTCCTTTGCTCATCGTGGCTTTCCAGGGGCCCCTGAGTTACTTCATTACCAGGATTGTGAGATCTCCTTCTCCCCAGACTGAGAGGACCTGATCAGCAGGGTGTCCTGTGGGGTGACAAAGTCCCCAGCTCGGGATGCTGCGGGCCTGGGCTGGAAAGTGACTCCAGGAGTGGGGAGGGTGGAAGGAGGCTCTGAACAGACAGCTGTTCCCTTTGTTGTCTCAACCCCACCCTCCACGCCTGAAGGTGACCCTGTGGCAAATGCCCTTATGGCGAGGTGGCAGCTTGGCCAGAAACACCAGGAAACGCTGGGCCTTTGCAGGGCACCCAGAGGACTCTCCTGGGAGTGGTCGAGGTGAGTGTTGGCCAGAATCAGCCCAGACCTGCTGTGATCCTGGGGCTCAGCCATGGTTGGGGCTGGATCAGCAGGAACCCGACAGCGGGAACAGTATTACTCTTGGGTGCTCGTGTTCAGTATTAGGACAGGGGACCTTGTTACCCAAGGCCCAGTGACCATCTCACTCCACTGTGAGTCCAGCATCAGAAAAGCCATGCAGCCCAGCAGATACAGCAGGTGGCCCAGGGATGGTGGTTACTGCTGGGTGAGGGAGGGAAGGTCTTCAAACAGGGCTGCACATATGCCTCCTAGTTAGACAGGACATGGGGAGAGATTCCCAGAGAGGGAAAGAGAGGGCAGCCCCTGGCCAGGTGCTTGTGAGCAGAATGGTCATCTCCAAATGGTAGGAGTTAGTTCTCCTCTGTGGCTCCCACTTTCTCGGGAGAGCTGGGAGTCCAGACTCAGGAAGACATGCTGTGCAGAGGGTAAGCTGAATGTCAAGAATCCTGTATTTTTTTTTTTAAATCAGTGGAAGGGAGATGCAGGTAACCCAAATAGCGAGAATGTGCTGGTGGGTGGAGTGTGAGGGAGGGAGGCCAGAGTGCTGACCTGTGCCCCGTATGTGATGACACCACCAGTGGTCATCTGTCAGGATACTGGCCGGCACTGCCTGGAGGGTCAGCTGTCCTGATGCAGCAACCTCTCTAATCCCAGTAGGAAAGATACCAGTGTAGGTTGCTCTTAGGAGTAGGTACAAGTGCGATGTCCCGTAAGGAGTGATAGGAAGTGGCAGATTAGGGTAGCTGGCCAGCTGCTCCAGATGTTTGATGACCGTAGGCAAATGTTGTGTCTGTCGTGCATCTGGAGAAAGAGGCTACTTTGTAAAGCATAGTGTCTGGGAGTTCAGACCAGCAGAGATGAGCAGACTTCAGCAGCGATGTATCAACACGTTTGAAAATGATGGAGTAGCCAGGTGTGGTGGTGCACCTGTAATCCTAGCTAATTAGGAGGGTGAGTCAGGAAGATTCCTTGAGTCCAGGAGTTCCATTCCAGCCTGTGAAATAGTGAAACCCCCATCTCAAAACAATGACAGAACACTTTGTTCCCTGACTTCTATAGTCCACAGTTTTAAGGACACACTAGGAGGGGGCCAGATAGCAACCATGGACTGAGGAACAAGCCTGGGGCCTCCAGCTCCCATGAAACCTGGAAGAGTCCAGCTGCCCAGGAGGGGGCATGTTTTCCTTCTGCCACGTGACGAAAGAGAAAGCTGTGTTCCCCTAGGCTGCGTGGGTGACTACTGATCCGATCATCTGAATTAGCAGGATGAGAAATTAGGTGAGTGGCAGAGGTTCTCTGTAATAAATGACCAGTAATAAGTGAACACTAAACAACACTATAATAAACAAATGACCAAGCGCAGAAAGCATCACCTAAAGGTGCAAGTGGTGAGGACAAGCTGGCCAAGAGTTGAGATTCTGCACATCTGGGTTTTGAGCAACTAACACTTTGGCCTATGGTAGGAGCTGAGACTGAGCAGCCACAGGATTTGGTGGCTTCTCAAATGGGAAGCCCAGGAGCCCCCTTTACGGAGTGCCTGGAATTCTCTGGGGTCAAGCTCTTCTCGTTCACACTCCATCGCTCCTTCTTTTCTCCCTCTCCTCAAACATGGCGGACACATGGATGTTCTAAACTGTGAGCCAATGTCGGTAACACATTTGGCTCTTCCACATCATTAGGAAGCTGTGATACTCATGGGGAAGCCAGCTGGTAGCTCCCGCAAGAAAAGGCGACAGGGCAGAGCCCAGTGCCTGAGGTCCTATTGTTTTGCACTCCATGGAGAGAAAGAGAATCCTTCCTCTCAGGGACCAGTAGATGAACAGTATTCGTGGTTTTGGAATGCAAGTTAACATTTATTTTTCAAAAAGAGTATTTGTCAGTGCAGATTCAGTGACTGAAGAACTACATAGGAGTGGAGGGGAGTAGAGGCGGCCTCCGGGATCTCGGGCGGCTGGCTGCTGCAGGCAGGGATCCGTCTGACTCCCTGGGCTGCAGCCTGCAGGGGCCTGGACACGAGGAAAACAGATGACTCTGAGGAGGTGAGTAATCTCCTTGACATCGCTGAGTGGTCAGATTTTCTTATCCTGTTTGGGTCACTGTAGGCACTTCCCTGTCACTGTTTGTGTAACCTTAAATATCAATTCCTTTAGCAAAGTGCAGTGACGGTGGAGAGTGGTTCCTGTTCCTGCTTGGAATCCTGCTAAACTCAATCACTGAGTGCTGGAGCTGGGGCCAGAGGCCATCAGGACAGCCCTGCCCTTCCTGTGACCCTGCCTGCTCTCTCTTCTTGTCACAGAGGAGCTGGATCCAGCGACAAGACTCACCTTGACCAAACCTTAGTTAGGCTCCTCTGAGCCTTCATCTCCCCTAGTCCTCAACCTTAGTCCCCCAGCCCCTACCTCCTGTTCTTGCGAGGGCTGCATTGCCCAGTTTTAGGAAAGAATCCTGCTAAGTCAGTTTAGAAAGAATCCTCCCACTCTTGTTATCTGATCACTCTCAACATCTGATCAAGTTCTTCATTCCACCACCTGTACAATTCCTTTGACTTTGATGTCTAGGGCTTTGTCCTGCCTTTAGCAACAATATTGCTAGGTCAGTTTATCCAGAAACTCCTACCTTTGTTGTCTCTGCTTAGTAATTCCCATCTATTAACCCCACCACCCTGATCCTTGTCTGTAAATCCCACTTCACCTTTTATTGAGAGTTCAGCTCATTCTCCATCTCATTGTGAGAGTCTTTACACCTATTGCAATAGTCTCGAATCATCTCTACCAAGCTCAGGCTTCAAGCAGTGAAGCTGCACATCCTCTTGCCCATAATGTCATCACTGGACATCCTGCAGGCTCCAACAATTCA